AAAAAAATTCTTTGTTGGTTACCAGGGGTGGGAGGGAGGGGATGGTAGATCACAAGTTAGGGAATAGTCATATCATAGCTCCAGCATCCGGGAAGGCAAAATACAAGGAAAGGGAAGGCAATGAACAAGAAGGAGGAGAAGCAGAAGAACAAGGAACATAGGAGAGTACTTAGGCAGGTTTGCATGGGCTAAATGGGACAGGGTAAATAGTAATGTATGCTCAACCTTGGAACAACAGGGCTCTGTGATACAGGGATTGAGGCACAGTCTGAATGGGGAGTCCTGATGTGGCACTGTGGGCTAATGCGTCAGACTGCAAAGTTGTTTGAACTGCAAGGTTGGTGGTTCAAGCTCATCAACTGCTCCTTGGAAACCCTATACAGGGTCATTATGGGTCAGAATCAACTCAACGGCACTTAACAACAACAACAATGTTAAGATGCTTGACTGTCTCATGGATATTGGTTTCCCTTGTCTACTACTGTAAAATAGACTCTTGAGTGGGATAGAAAGGAATATCGGGAAACATGATTCCAGAAAGCTTGTAATCCCATCTTTAGCCTATAACTGATTGGAATACCTAAAAGGGGTTCTGGAACTTGTCCAGTGAAATAGGCATCTTGCAGAGCCTTTGGAGCATTTAGGACCTTAGGTGGAATCCTGAGCTCCATCCAGATCTTCTGAGATGGGACACTCCCACTTGAAAGGACAAGCAGACAAGCCTGGAGCAGCTAGAGGAACAGCAGGTACTTCATGAAAGAAAGACAAGCAGGAAAAAAAAACAGAAACAAAAATGGCAATTTGTTTGGCTATTACAAGCACAAACAAGCTGTTCACTGGGGATCCATCAAGGGAAACAATAAAGTCCCTTCAGGACAAACCCTCCTCCAAGACTGAAACTCAAAGGGAACACACGAGCAGGCATGTAAGCTTGCTGGTGACCACATTGGTCTATAAGTGAATGAAAGTGGGGGAAAGGCAGCAATGAAGATATGGGCTGAGTTTGACCACATTCCATAGACTCCTGTCGACCTTGAGATGAGAGAGAGAAGAGGAAGAGCTGGTTGGTCTGAAGTTTGGGCAGACTTGGGAACTCCTGGGCCTACGGACATTGACCTATCCATGGAGGGCTAGAGCTGAGAGTGAAGCATCCAGCTGGCATGAAGTGAGAGGAGACACACAAGAATGCCCAAACTTGCAAATAGTACCCATTTAACGTAGCTTTGATGGTTTGATGATCAGAACTTGACTAGAGGAAGATAAAGAAATTTGATAATGGAAGCAAGCATTACAATTTGATTAACTTGACCTATACTTATGGATGTAGTAGCTCAAAATACCAACCGAAAGGGGAGGAGTCTTCACATCAAGGATCAAACCTATCCCCTCTATACACAGGGCTGATTGGGACAGGCAACTTAGACATTGGTTACCTAAAATGGGGTTGGTGGGGAGGAGGCGATAAATGCATAAAGTGGCTGCCTTACAAGTTTTCAAGAGGGAGTTTAGTTTCAGAGTGTGCGGGGGAAGGTAGAATCCCCACTGAATAATTTTCACCTTGTCTAGATGGGTCTGGTGAATGGAGATGGGGATAGGATTCTTTTGTTTCAATAATGAGTAATTGTTATCATGACTAATTGCAATTGTCACAACTGTAAAGGTAGAAATTGAGTATCAAAAAGAGGGGGGGGCGTAGTTAATCTTACATTCCAGGAACAGAGGACCCTAGGATCATCAAGAGAGAAGAGCATGAGCGGACCTTAACCAGAGAAACAGTGACACCAGAGATGGACACAGAGGTGATGACATGGAGAGATAGAGAAGCTGAAGACTCTAAACTCATGGAAAGAGAAAGGCTGTGTGCTGGTGGCCAGGAGTCTAGCTTGCAGAATGTGTCCTTTGGTTGTTTAAATGATTATATATTCCTAAGCGTTTTTGTGTACACCAAATAAATAAATAAATAAACAGAGGAAATAGAAGCAAATACTGTTAACGAATGATGCATGGAGGGATTTGTAATCACTGCAATGAAACAAAATATGATAGGCTGAGTGCAAAACCGATGTTCTCCCATGTAAACTATCACTCAATTCACAATAAAAGTTTTTTTTAAAAAGCCATGCCATTTAAGAAGGAGGAACTTATTAAGGCAATGATTGAAATGCAGAGGAGACAAAGGGATCATGTACTGACCTGACAAGAATCTTTCCCACCGGCCTTATAGCCACAGACCATCCCTTCCAGTACTAGATCCATAAAACGGGACATAGTCTGCTTCATTATGTTATTACAGTTTTCATACCGGATGATGTACTGGTCGACCTTCCGGAGAATTTCTGAATAACGAGGTTTATCTATAAGCAAAGAAAATCAGCAGTTTGCAGATCTATACAAGTAGACAGGAAAATCACAACCTCCCAGAATCTCCCTGGAAGAAAGCAGAACAATGTATATAGTCTGCATTTGACAGAGGAAGAAACTGAAGTCCAAAGCTGACATGAGGAAAAGAGGAAGTAAGAAGCAAAATCAAGGCAAAAGAGAAACAGGTCAGAAAAATGTAAGACATAACCAAGCTTCCATCCCTCAGAACAGAAGCAGCAATAGTTGATGGGGTCCTGTGCCTCAATAAAACATCTTTATTTTCCAAAGCAGAACCAAAGGCTCTAGGACAGGTAGCACTCCAAAGGTACTAAATCCAACCTCTCCCCAGAACAACAGGCCTTACAGTCTCACAGACAGGGGCCCTCTGCCTCTGTCCATATCCCCAGGGGCAGGAAGCTCCCCACATACTAAGGCAGGTACTTCTAGTGAGGAGCAGCTCTGATCGGCACATAGCTCATCATCCCCGATCTGAAATTCACCCTAGAGAATTCCCCATACCCATCTAGTTTTGTCTCCAGAGAATCTAGAAATCAATAGCCCCCAAACCAAATAAGAATTGAACTCATTGACACTGAGTGTCAGTTCTGATACGTGGCAAATCCATGTGTGCAGAGAAGAACTATACTCCATAGGATTGTTAAGGCTGTGTCCTTTAAGAAAATTACCAGACATTTCTTCCCAAGTGTTTGGGTGTGTTTGACCCAATAATCTTTCAGATAATAGTTGAGCACTTAACCATCTGCACCTCCCAAAGACTCCCAATAAGGCATGTTGTTGTTAAGTGCCGCCAAATCGGTTCTGACCCACAGAGACCCTATACAGGGTTTCCAAGGAATGGTTAGTAAGCTTGAACCTCCAACTTTGCTGTTCAAACCAACTTTGCAATCCAGGACATTAACCCAGAGCACCAAAGTCAGGCGTAGTACCCCATAAATCTATAAAAGGAGACTCCAAAATGTGTTCCTTCTCCTGGCTGAACAGTTCTATTTCCCCCTAAACAAATTTCTTTCCTGAATGGCTTCCATTAAATATTTATGTTGCAACAAAAGATCCCAAACCAGTTTCTGGGAACCTTTGCCCTGACTGCTGCTTAACTGTCCCCCACCTTTACCCACCTGCCAGGTTGTTGGCTTCCCTTTCCTCCCCTTAACTTTCAGTTCTACTCCAGAGCATAAGGTTGCCTCCCTCCTGTCCCAAGTTGCTTCCTGCATGACAAGTCTCACCACCTTCTCCCTGTCGGCCCCAGCCAGTCACCCAGCACCTGGTCCCAGGTGCCACCTTAAAAGTCTCCTTCGGGATGCAGATTGGCTTGATGGTTTTAGTGAAATTCACAGGGAAGAGGAGATGAAGAAGGGCAATGTCATTCTGAACAGTGCCAGTTCTTGTGAACTCAGGGTGGACAATTATGTTTTGGATAGGGACCACCACACTTGTGTTGATTTCACCATATTCCACATCTCCCATCTTGACACTGTAGGTGAAGTGGCTGTGGAAGAGAGAACATGCTCCTCATAGAGAAGAAGTACGTACCACTTGTGCTTTTACATGAGTATCAGATAATTCCCAACCTCTCTCACCACCCTTCCTTGATCACTCTCAATATTGGTTTGCTTGCCCTACTTCCGTAAATATTTCTAGTAAAAAAGACTTAAGAGTCTCTCCCACTTTTATTGTGGGTTCTTTTTGGTTGTTGTTTTGTTTAGTCTTTTGCCAACTTCCCAGGGTTTTTGAGGTAATTGAGCTTTGAAACAGGACTGCCTCCAGAGCTTCCACATTCCACCCCTCACCTTAAAATACAGTGGGCAGCAGTCAGCACCCACTGATTGGAGATGAGGGAGCCTCCACAGATGTGCTTCTTTCGAATCCTCAGGCTCACCTGCCAGGGCCACTCCCCCTCTTTGGAGTCTTCTCCTCCTACTATCTTTACATCAGACTTGCCACATCCTGGGTGAGATGTGTAGGAAAAATTCAAGGAAACAGGCCCAGTATTCCCTAAGCCCACAACTCCCAGAAAATCACCCCATGTCCCTAAAACAGTCAGGGGTGAAGCCATGTCCTCGTAGAATCCGGGAGATGTCCCAGGCCTTGAACCAGCAGACTTCCCCAAGCAAAATCCTGTTACCCTCAGACCCCACTTAATCCTAAGGGCAGGGCCTAGGTCCCCCAGATACCCAGATAGCACTGGGTCCCACTCTGAGTGACTCAGACCTCTTCTCCGGACTCCCCACACGAAGAGTCACCTGGAGAAGAGATCTCGCCAGATCCAGTGATCTCAAAGGACGGCAGAAAGGTGACAGGCAATGGACTCTTGGGGCTCACTTCAGGGTGCTCGAGGCTGCGATCCAAGGGGAGAAAGGCATCGGAGAGTTGCGCTGACTCGCCCCTTGCCCCGTCTGCGTTCACTTCAGCCTTAATAAGTCCAGGCTGAAGAAACAGGAACAGAATCAGAAGAGTCAGGGGGCCGCTGTCATGGCCACAGCTGAAGAGACTGTCTGGGGACGCCATGGGCACTGCTAGAAGCTCAGTCGGCTCCCCCCTCGTAGCGCCCCCTCGTGGCCACTCCCAGCCTTGCGCTCTGTTCTGGCGGAAATCCTGTAGGAAAGTGGCTGGGTACCTGCCACATTATCTCAGCGCACTCACAAAAGAGCTGGTACTGCAAATTTTGGTGCTTGGAAGTCTGCAGCCTGAGTCGTATGAAGGAGTTCAAAAGAACCAGGCATTTGGCATAATGAGAGGCTTCTGCCAAAGATGGAAGCTAAAGTTCATTTTTCTTTTTTCTTTCTGTTTAATGATAATTATGAGTTGATCTTCAAAACTCAGCTAGCCAGTTTAGGAAGACTTCAGACTCTCCAGCATGCTCCCAGGAAGAACATTCATTCAGGCCAGTCCTAGAAATAGCCATTGATTTAGTAGTTGTATGTATAACTCAAACTTCACAATTAGCAAATGAGGTTTAAGGTGTGTCCCCATTGTCTTGTGACTAGGTAAGCATGATTTTGCCAATGTCAACTAATCAGAATTTTTTTATTGTAAATTCCCAGATCTTCTGTATTTAGCTCTGTGAAAAATTCCATTCAATGCAGTACTTTAGTGAATCCTCAACACATACAGCCCATTTCCAGATATTTGTGTTCCTTCAATAAACTCGTTTCTTTAATTTTCACTTTAACTCCAGTTTGCTCACTGACATTTCTTGGTGTCAGAAGTGGGATTTCAAACAAGCATTATCTTCAGTGGCTCTGTGAGGAAGTGAGACCAGTGTTTGGGCATTTGTATGAGTTCACTAAAGCTCTTGCACGTACATAAAATCTTAAGACTTGTTGGGATATGTCTTGAATCTTGAGCTTCCCTTTCTTATGTTGAGTTCTTGGAGAATTATTTAAGGATTCTAGTTTTGTTTCCTGTTTCATTTTGTCTTATCATTTACATTTTGGTCTTACAAAAATTGTTTATAAATTTTGCCTCAGCTAATAGCAGGGAAACATTATCAGATATAGTGCTGGAAGATGAGGCCCTCAGGTTGGAAGGCATTCAAATATGACTGGGAAAGAACTGCCTCCTCAAAGTAGAGTTGACTGTGATTACACAAATGGAGTGCAGCTTTCAGGGCTTTCATTTGCTGGGCACAACTCAAAATGAGAAGAAACAGATGCAAATATTCATTAATATTCAGAATGTGGACTGTACAAAGTATGAGTCTAGGAAAATTAGAAGTTGTCAATTAGAAATGGAATGTATAAAAATCAATATTTTAAGCATTTGTGAGCTGAAATGGACTTGTATTAGCCATTTCGAATCTGGCAATCATATAGGTTACTATTGTCTCAACAAATTCAAAAAAATGATGTCATATATTCATCATCAAAAAGAACATTTTAAGATCTCTATTGAATTACATCACTGTCTGTGATGGGATAATGCCCATACACCTACAAGGAAGACCCGTTAATACTATTATTCAAATTTATGAACCAACCACTAAAGTCAGTGATAATGAAATTGAAGAATTCTACCAATTTTTTCAGTCTGAAATGCATCAAATATGCAATAAAATATATTGATAATTATTGGTGATTGGAATACAAAGATTGGAAACAAAGAGGAAGGATAAATAGTTGGAAAATATGGCCTTGGTTATAGAAGTTATGCTAGAGATTGTATAATAGAATTTTACAAGACCAATAACCTATTCATTGAAAATACATTTTGTTAAAACAACATAAAAGGCCTCATCAGAGGCATACATGAAGAACCAAACTGATTACTTCTGTGAGAAGATAAAGTGGAAAAGCTTAATGTCATTAGCCAAAACAACACCAGGAGCTAACTGTGAAACAGACCATCAATTGCTCCTGGTCTTGTTTGGTTATATGCAACTTCAGGTTAAAGCTAAAGAAAATTAAAACAAGTCCATGAAAGTCAAAATATAACCTTGAATATATCCCACCTGAATTTTAAGATCATCTCAAGAACAGATTTGATGCATTAGACAGTAATGACCAAAGAACAGAAGAGTTGTAGGATGACATTAAGAATATCATATAGAAAGAAATTGTAAAAGGTCATTAAAAAGACAAGAAAAAAAAAGAAAAGACATAAAATGGATGTCAGAAGAGACTCTAAAACTTGCTCTCTAGTGTTGGGATGCTAAAGCAAATGGAAGAAATGAGGACGCCAAAGAGTTGAACAGAAAATTTCAGCTCAAGAAAACAAAGTCAGGTATTATAGTGGAATATGCAAAGATCTCGAGTTAGAAAGCCAAAAGGGAAGAACACACTCAGCATTTCTCAAGCTAAAAGAACTGAAGAAAAAATTCCAGCCTCAACTTGCAATATTGAAGGAATCCATGAGCAAAATACTGAATTGTGCAGAAAGCATCAAAAGAAAATTAAAGGCATACACAGAGTCATTAAATCAAAAAGAAATGGCTAATGGTCAACCATTTCAAGAGGTAGCACATGATCAAGAACCAATGGTACTAAAGGAAGATGTTCAAGCTGCATGGAAGGTATTGGCAATAAAACAAGGCTCCAGGAATTGATGGAATACAAATTGTTATCTTTCAACAAATTGATGCAGCACTGGAGGCACTCACTCATCCATTCCAAGAAATCTGGAAGGCAGCTACCTGGCCAGCCAATTGGAAGACATCCATATTTGTACCCATTCCAAAGAGAGAGAACCCAATAGAATGCAGAGATCATCTAACAATATCATTAATATCACATGCAAGTAAAATTTTGCTGAAGATAATTCATAAACAGCTACAACAGTATAGCAACAGAGAACTGCCAAAAACTCAAGCCGGATTCATAAGAGGACATGCAAGTAGGGAGGGATATCATTGCTGATGTCAAATGGATCTTGGCTGAAAGCAGAGAATACCAGAAAGAGGTTTTCCTGTGCTTTACTGACTATGCAAAGGCTTTTGACTTTCTGGATCATGACAAACTATGGATAATACTGTGAAGAATGTATACGCCAGAATACTTCATTGTGCTCATGAGAAACCTATACATAAACCTATAAGCAGTTGTTCTAACATAGCAAGAGGATACTGAATGGCTTAAAATCAGGAAAGATATGTGCCATGGATGTATTCTTTCACCATACTTGTTCTTCTCATATGTTGTTGTTGTTGTTGGGTGCCATTGAATTGGTACTGACTCATATATGCACAGCAGAATGAAACACTGCCCAATCCTGGGTCAAACTCATTATTGTTGCCATACTTGAGCCCACTGATGATGCCACTTTGCCCATCCATCTCGCTGGGGCCTTCCTCTTTTTCTCTGACCCTCCACCCTACCAAACATGATATCCTTCTCCAGCGACTGGTCCCTCTTGACAACATGCCTGAAGTATGAGAGACGAAGTTTGGCCATCCTGGCCTCCAAGAAGCACTCTGGCTGCACTTCTTCCAATACAGATCTATTTGTTCTTTTGGCAGCCCATAGCACTTTCAATATTCTCCTCCAACACCATAACTCAAAAGCATCAATTCGTTTACAGTCTTCCTTAGTCACTGTCCAGCTTTCACAAGCATATGAGGTTATTGAAAATACCATGGCTTGGGTCAGGTGCATTTTCGTCCTCAAGCTGACATCTTTGCTCTTCAACATTTTTAAAAGGTCTTGTGCAGATGATTTGCCTAATGTAATACATTGTTTGATTTCTTGACTGCTGCTTCCATGAGTGTTGATAGTTGATCCAAGAAGAATGAAGTCCTTGACAATTTCAATCTTTTCTCCATTGATAAGAATGTTGTTTATCGGTCCAGTGGTGAGGATTTCTGTTTTCTTTACATTGAGATGCAACCCATATTGAAGGCTATTTTAAGTCCTCTTCACTTTCAGCAAGCAAGGTTGTATCATCTGCATATCACAGGTTGTTAATGAGTCTTCCTCCAATCCTGATGCCATGTTCTTCTTCATATAATCCAAATTCTTAGATTTTTTGCTCAGCATACAGGTTGAATAAGTATGCTGAAAGACTACAACGCTGGTGTACACCTTTCCTAATTTTAAGCCATTCAGTGTTCCCTTGTTCTGTTCGAATAACTGCCTCTTGGTCTATGTACAGGTTCCTCACGAACATTATTAAGTGTTCTGGAATACTCATATTTTCCAATATTGTCCATAACTTGTCATGATCCACACAATCAAAAGCACAGGTAAACATCTTTCTGGTATTCTCTGCTTTCAGCCAAGATCCAGCTGATGTTATCCTTTACCAGCTAATGCACCCATATAAAATTTTCATTGGTCTCCATCAGAATTTAATTGGTATGATCATTCAACAGCAGTATTTGCACGTTGAGTAGGACTTGGAGATATTATGGCACATGTACAAGTATTAACTAAATACATGCATACTGCTCTTAACTACAGTGTCCATGGACTTCAAGATAGCAGTAACAAATTAGCTATGATGAGAATAATAGTATTTCAAAATAGAATGGCTCTTGACATTCTCACTTCAGCCCAGGAAGGTACTTATGCCACTGTAAAGTCTGATTGTTGTAGCTATGTGGTTGTTGTTAAGTGCCATCAAGTTGGTTCCAACTCATAGGGACCCTGTCTAGGGTTTCCAAGAAGCAGCTGGGGGGTTTGAACTGCCAGCTTTATGGTTTTTGCAGTCAAGTACTGATCCAACAGTGCCATACCGAAAGTTGTGGCTATAGATCTGATAATAGTGCTAAGATTACACTCTATGCTCATCTTGTGCAGCATGTAGTTTCTCATCTTACTGGTCTTGTTTTCTCTTTAAATGAAATTATGTATAGTTTTTCTCTTGGGATGAATGGATGGTGGAAACAATTCTTATTCTATTTGGGAATATATATATTCCTCATGGTTTCTAATGCTGTAATTGTAAAATGTTTTTTCTGGTTTTGTCCAACACATTTTATATATGAAATGCTGTGTTTCAGAACCAATTAATCCTTCAAAAAAAATTATGGTGCTGTGTCTTGAAGAAGACACTACAAACAGTGTATGGAGCCTCTCATTTAGGCTCTGTTATAGATTGAATAGTGTCCCTCAAAATATATGTCAGCTTGGCAGGACCATGATCCTCCAGTGTAGCAGTTA